TTTTTTTTGTGAATGTTTTATTGTGAATTATGTGATAGTTTACATGGGAAAACATTAGTTTTACATTCATTCTATTGTATATCGTTTCATTGCCATGGTTACAGTCCCCTCTATGCATCATCAACCAACCAAAGGGTATTCAGTACATGCCTGCATCCCTGTCGTCAGCACACAGCCCCTCTCCCTCTATGGATCTAAAGTCTCCAGCTGCTCCATCTCTCCATGTCATCATCTCTGCCTCCATCTCTGGCGTCACTGCTTCTCTGGGTAGGGAAGCAGAACCTCCTTGAAGGCTTCTAACCACCATTGTGCCTGGAACCAAGATTTCAATGTTGATAAACCTTAAAAATGTTCTATAAGTGGATGGAATTGTAAACCACATGGGTTCACAAAGTTAACATACAACTTTCCCAGAGGGGTTTGTGATTAGTGGATCTGAAGCAAGGTCAGTAGGAGTGCAACCTTGCTAGAGAGATGACTCGTGAGCTAATCCTACTTTTCTGCTTCCAGCCATCTCTGACCTTATTGCTCCCTCCAATAGTCCATACATGAGCAAGCCTGACCATGGACAAGCAGAGGGTTGACAAGGGTTATCTTTATGACTCTAAGATCAGCATAAAGAGCAGAGTGCATAGTGACCTGGCACCTACAGCTAACTACCTAGGCTACTTTCAGTGTAAAACAGGCATAAACTAATACTGACAGTCCTGGTGCTGTAGGATAAGCACTAGACCATAGGTCTGTTTGAACTGCAAGGTCAGAGGTTCAAACTCAACAGCTGCTTCTTGGAAACCCTATACAGGGGCTGCTATGAATCAGAACCAACTCCATGGCACTTAACAACAACAACAAATCCTGATGTGCGGAGCTGTAGATCAGCACTAGACTGTGAACCACAAAGTCAACAATTCAAACCCACCAGTTGCTCCTTAAAAACCCTATATAGGGTCGCTATGAGTGGGAACCGACTCGATGGCACTTAATAACAACAACAGACACTGTAATGGATAAGTCCTGGGCTGCAAGGTCGGTTTGAACCTCAAGGTCGGCGGTTCAAGCTCACCAGCTACTCCTCGGAAACCCTAAAAAGAACCACTATGAGTGGAGCCCACGCCATGGCACTTAACAACAATAAGGAAGTCAAACAATAGACAGACATAGCTATAAACTGAAAGGTAACATCCCTGAGGAAAGAGCTCCTCAGAATAATCAACCACAGGTTTCCTTGGAAACCCTATACAGGATCGCTATGGGTCAGAATCGACTCAACAGCTGCTCCTTGGAAACCCTATACAGGGTTGCTATGGGTCAGAATCGACTCAACAGCACTTAACAACAACAACTTCTAATGAAACCTCTCTTGTAGCTGGCTTACTGTTGAAGCACTGAAGGTTCAGAACAAACAAATCTCCTTTTCATAGGATCTCTGCTAGGAAATTTGTATGATTTAATAATTTAAATAATTCAGTACACACAAAGATGTAAATGACTGGTACCTAAAGGTAGTTTGGAGGGTGATAGTTCATTTTAATATAAGATTTCAGTGACTGGTAGATTTAAAAAAATATGTACATAGCAGCTTTTTTCTGTTTGTACTTGGATGAGTACAATCTTTTGACATCCCCACACGTTTGTAGGTTCGCTTTATAAGGCTGATTTAGGAAGCAGACATTTAAAAAGCATACTTAAATAAGCACATGACTTTAAAAAAAAAAACACTAACTATCTACTAGTTCCTCCCCCTTTGCACCAGGTGGCTTTGTCTCAGCGACCTTGGCGGTCGTCATTTGGGAAAGACCCCACGCTAACAAGAAGAGGGAAAGATCGAAACTCAACTGAATTACTAGAGAGGACGTTTTCATCTGAATTAATTTAACCCAGTTGAGAATTCCCCGTCAACTCTACTAACTTCTAACCCTCCAGAAAGGGTAACTTGTTGGGATTCAGGACGGAGCATCTGGCCGAAATCTAGGGCCCCCTTGGCCGGGCAGTCGTCCCCGCAGTCCGTAGGGATGAGAGGGGCCAAGCAGGACTGCGGGGAAAGTTCGGCTCGCGCCCTCCCCCAAAAGCCAGCCGGCGGAGTGGGGGACAAGCGGACAGATCACAGATTAGGTAGTTTCCGGGAGGGGTGGGGAAGCGACCCAAGGTACAGTGCCCTGTAACGCAGCTCTTGAACTGGGTGGGGCGGGGTGATTGACCCCCACCTGCGACCGCAAGGGGTGGGTCTACAGGGCCACTCGGCCGAGAGAGGCGGGTGTGGGGCGGGGCTCCAGGAGGCGGGGCGGCGGCCGCACCAGGGCTGGGGCCGCGCCTGGAGTGGGGTGGCGAGGCGGCGGGAGGGGCCGGGACGGC